ATAGTTCAAAACCAGCCCCTGGTTTATGTTTCATCTCCATGATCTCTATCAGGAAGATGTTAATACATTTGTGATATATTTCAATGACCAAAATGAAGTCCACTACAGCTCTGTTACAGCAAGTTCAGCATGAACTTTAGTATGTAGAGATGTTCTGGCCACATCTTAAGTGTTTTCTGCCCATCTCTTTGCTTACTTTAACTTGTTTCAAAAAGTGAAATGCTCTTCCTTTGAAGGAGCCCAGCTGGGAAGGGTTGTGTTTCAAGCCTGGGTGTAAAGCCCTTCCAAAAACAGCTCTTTCTAGAGACAACTTTCATCCATAATTATATCTGGAGAGAGCAGCTCTCCATCCAAAGGCTTATTAGAGCACATTCTCTGATGAGAAGACTGAGAAATGCAATTGGATGATTTTTTTTTTCTGTTGAAACCCTGTTTTGGGGATGTATCACAAGCCTTAACCAAATTCCAGTATCCCAGATCAGAATGAAGTAGTATATTAAAGCAACTGCAAGAGGTTTGTAGAGTGGTGTTGAGGACATCCAGGCACAAATACTGTATTTCTTTCATCTAGTAGGTCTGGTTGAATGCTGACAAGGTGGCAGGAGGCTTGGTTGCCAGGAGTGCTGGAAAGAATAACATATTCTATGTTGTCACTAATCTATAACTGTGAGTTCCAAAAAATCTTTCCCTAGTGAACAAAATAGAAGTCGTGTCCAGAACATTAGTGACTTATCTCAAAGATATCTTAAGAAGTCTTTATATATTTTATAAAACCATTTATTTTAATTTAAGATAAGCAGGAGAATAAAATATGCAATGGCTTGAGATGCAGCTCAGTGGGGAAGTGTATGCTTAGCATATACAAGGCTCTGGGTTTAGCCCCATGTAGAAAAGAAAAATGAAAATGGGCTTGGAATGTAGCTCAGTGATAGAGCACTTGCCTGGCATGGGATCCTGAGTTCAATCCCCAGTTCTTCAGGAAAAAAAAAAAGAAAAAATATACAGTCCATGACACTTCAAGGGAAGAAGATGAAGCTGTGAAATCAAACTACCAATAAGCCACTTGGCAACCCAGGAGAGAAAGCACTAGTCTACAAGACCTCGTAGGATTTAGTCATCTGTACTATGCTTAGCAACAGGGCACCAGCATCAGTGGCACAGAGTTCTTTAGTGGCACAGAAATCAGTTTGTGGAGTCATTTGTAAGCAAACATGTGCGTGATAGAGGAAAACCACCTGATTTCTTCTCACATCCTTACATCCCAAGTCTTACAGGACTCTAGGGAGCAGGGAGCTTGAGAACCAGCTCTGCCTCCTCTAGGTTGCCCCTTATCTCTGACGCAACCAGGCTAAGTGAGATAGAGTATTTCCCACACATCACATAGTGCCTGGAACGTGGGGATATTCAGTAAGCACGATGAGCACTTCTGCAGCATTGCCTAGACAGTGTGCAGAGAGTCCACGAGAGCTCTACTTACCTCTTTTTATGTGTGTGCAACTTACTTTTAATCTTTTCCCCTTTATTGTTGTGCTGGGTGGGGGTACATTTGTGGCATTTACAAAGGTTCTTAGAAAGCTCCCCGCCCCTGAGTTGATGGGCAATTGACTGTAGGCCTTCAATGCTAAAAGGGAGACCACCTACTGATTGCAGTTACGCTCCTGTATATGGCCTGGGATGGCGGGGGGGATGAGGGTCAACTCATACACCAGGAACTTCCAAACCACAGGAGTCTCATGAGGTTCTGTGTGTAGTCTCAGTTTTCTGGATGGCAATGCTATGGGTAGCAAGGGAGGAAAGAATTTAGTTTGTAAATTGGTTGGTTATTCTTAGCCCCAAATCTTATTGGATGGGTAACTCTATAAAAATACTATTTTGTGGAAGAAGTGTACTATTTATAAATGCAAAAAATGAAAATTATAAAACTAAAAAATATGGAATTGACTATCCATCATCTTTCATTGTAAGGAAGGAAGGATACAGAAATGAGGATGCTCCTTCAAAATGTAAACTTCTCTGGTTCTTTTCTTCCTCATCCTCTTCTTCTCCTTCTTCCTTTTCTTCTCCTCTTCCTCCTTCTTCTGTTTTCCTCCTTCTCCTTTTCTCTCTCCCCCCTCTCCTTCCTCATCTGTTTAGTTTTATTTTTTTTGAGATAGGGTGTCACTATGTAGTCCAGGATGGCCTTGAACTCATCATTTTCCCACCTCAGTCTCCTGAGTGCTGGGATCACAGGTGTGCACCATTATACTCAGACAAAGTATGGTTTTCTAAATGTTTGATTTATAAGAAATAAAAGAATTTATAAGACATAATTGAGGACTCATGTACCAAGTAAAGTGAACAATGTGCCTTACTTATTTATGGCTCCTTAATAAATGCCTCCAAATTTGGCACGTAAAAAAAATAAACATTCATTATTGCAGATTCTGTGGATCAAGAATCTGTAAGTACTGAGATGGGTCAAGGTCCCTCCTAAGGTTGCAGCCAAGATGTTGAGTAGGCTTCTCTCCCTGCAGCTTTCCTCAGTCAGGAGACCTGCCATGTATCTCACTCATATGGCTGGGGCAAGCTTAGAGGCTCCAGTTCTGTGCCACATGGGCCTCTCCACAGTGTCACTCACTTGGCTTCCCCCAGGTGAATGACCCAAGACAAAAAGACAGCACAAGATGGGAACCACAATGGAAGGTGCAGCCCTTCATTACCTAATTTTTGGAATGAGTAGCATGGCTTCTGTCCTAGGCTGTTGGTTTTACAGATCAGTGTGGGAGGGCCTATGTAAGAGAGTGAGACACAGGAAGCAGGAATCACAGAAGCAAGCTGGCAGCTGCTTACTACACTATCTGGATTATTTGCATCCATGTTTGGACTACTGACAGAGAGCCCTTCTGTAGGACACTGTAAGAATAAAAGCTCTGAGATGTGATGAACTCTTGGGTACCCGCAGTTCGGAACAGACTTACTGGGAACCTGGATACCACAGGTACTGGGCCATAGTCCCAGAGGGGAGATGACATCTTCCCCTTTTTTATTAGTGTATTGTACAAAGGTGTGTTGTTGTGATGTTTCCATACATGATTCTAATGTACTTTGATCAAATTCACCCAGCGACATTGATACAAATTCATTTTATCTTAGCAGAAGACCAAGGCACATGTCATCTAGTGGTAAACTGTGTTTCTTTATGAAGCAAACTCATAAGTAGACAAGTAGTTTGTAATGTTTTTGGGAGGCAAGATAATGTCAACAAGAAAGAGACACTGAATCATTAATTAACAAGGACCACTAGTTTCATGTGTGTTTTGACTAGCTATACAAGATCAGGTGAGTTGCTCTCCTATCGTATCATCTATAAAGTGAAACCTCGATATTCAGTGACTTCTAATATTGCTAGTTCTAAAAAATGTTTATTTGATGATAGTCTAATTATAATAGAGCATTCCCAATGAGATTATAAGGACAATTATCTGTGTAATTACCTTCTACATTCTAAGACAAATGCCTCACAAGTGGGCCTGTTGTCCAACTGAGTCAGGGCTAAAAAAGACATTTGAAATCGAGTGAGGTTGTAACAGCATTGGCTTATGGCACACTGCCATGTGCTGGGTCCATGGTACAAACAGGCCTAGGTTGGAGGTGGTGGCTAATCCCCACAGAGAGTTCACACTTAGGGACAAGAAAAGGAGGGGCTGTCCTGAAAGTATAGTTGTTTTGAGATCATGTCTGAAGCTCTTGGCTATGTCTTGGCTCTGTATCTCGTGTGTATGCATTTTTAAGAGCCTTACTGAGGTGCAATTTGCATGTCACACAATTCACCTATTATATGTCAAAGGGTGTAATTCAATGGCTTTTAGTAAATTTACAGAGTTGTACATCGTCACTACACTCTAATTTCCCCAAAAGATTCCTCCATTGGAAATTTTGTATTAGTGGAAATATACAAGATGTGTTCTTTTGCATCTGGCTTCTCTCCCATATCAAAAGGTTTCACCTTGCATCGGTGTTGTAGTATGTGTCAGGAGTTCTTTTTGCTTGTAAATACTACTCCATTGTATGAATATGACAAATTTCTTGTCTCTTCCCTAGCTAATGGACATTTGGGTTGCCCACTTTAGTCATAATTATGAACAAGACTGCTACAAACATGGTGTACCAATCTTTGTGGACCATTGACTGCATTTTTGTTGGTTCTGCACTTAGTATGGAGTTGCTGGGTCATACAGGTTAGACTCTGTGCTTAACTTTCCAAAAAGCTGCTGGTGTTTTCCTGAGTTGCTATACCATTTCACACTTCCATTAGCAACACATGCAGACTCAGTTTCTCCGCAACACTCCTGAACAACACTTGGAATTGCTTATCTTTTCAATTCTATCAACAGGTATCAATGGGAAGCAGTAAACTGCAAACTACAGAGTCCCTTCCTGTTGGGGGGACCCAAGCTCCAGAAGACCCTAACTCTGACAGTAAAAGTTTCAGTCAATGGCTACTGAAACAACTTTTCTGGGCTAAGTTCTTCCTAACTGTACTAAGAAGCAATCCCTGCTTAGTCGCATGGATTGACTGTTCTTTTTCATTACCAAGGCAACCCAATGTCAAGTCCTAAAAAAAATGCATACTCTCATTCCAAATAGTTCATTTTATTGCACATGTGCCACTTGCCTTGTAGCTAATAATGAGACCTCAGAAATAGAGAAAATGTCTCCTAGGAAATGGCCAAAGATATTTTATATTAACCTAACACTTTACTCCTGAAACCTGTGGATACTTTATTCAGAAAAATATTCAGTATCATTTTCCTCTATAGTTAACTTAAGGGATAGCTAAGGTTTTGGATAACTTTACACAAATGTAAACATAGAAAATGTACACTGCAATTTTTAGAAGCTCTATTCCTTACCAAGTATAGTGGTTACTCAGTCAAACTTTGCTGACTAAATCTCCCCTAAGAATAAATTTAGTTTTTCTAGGAGGCTAAAATGATACAAAATAATAACTTAGTGTTGCAATAAAATGTTGTCAGTTTTATTAAAAAGCTCATTCCATTTCTTCACATAGTTACGTTAGTTTCTTTCATTTTTTTCAAAGCCCATTGCATTATTTCATGAACGTTTGCTCAGTGAGCCCATCACTGATTAAAACACGTACACAGTTATCACCACATATCTATAAATGCAGATAGCCAAAACGACCCTTCCAGTATGTACAAGCTCCCTTACAAGCCCACACATATTTACAGCTAATAAATAAAACCTGAAGCCAAAGCACCATTGCAATAGATATATATAGCGAAGTCTTCAGAAGTCAGAGTTCCCAGCACCATGCACTGATTTGCTGAATCTTAAGTTTAGCACCCTTGATCAAAACCCACATCCACAGATCAATGAATTAGCAAAAAAGGGGATGCCAATGACAAATCACACATCATTTTATTGTTAGACAGAATGCATTCCAAGCCCGATGGAGTCAACCACAACCCTTGTCCAACAGTACAGAGGCACAGCCATCTTTTTCTGATGAAGGGCTGACATTATGGTGTGTATGTAACTATTTCTAGTTCAACATGTTCCAAAACATCCCTTGATTGTCACCCTCCCAAATCATGCTGAATGACAAGTGTACATGTGGTGCTTTACGTGTGAGCAGATGTCCAGGTACCCACACACTTTCACAGTTTGGGTTTCCAGCAGTAGCCTGAGATATTTGACTTCTGTATAATTTTATATTAATATGTAGAAAAGCATTCTGGAAATATGAGATCTAGTTTATAAATAACTGTTCACTCTCTCTTGATTAGTTGTTAAAACAACAGTGACAACCCTCTTGGCACTTCCTGTGGCTACGGCAACTGAAAACGCTTCTCCCTGCACACCGGGGTTTACAAGCACTGCTTACGTTACATCCCAGTTGCTTTTCTACCCTTCTACTTAAGTAAAAATGGTCCTTTTACCTAAAATTTGTAGTTCACATGATGCAAAATTTGAACACATCCAAACCATACGTGAAATAGACATGCTTGAAGTATGACTGAGACAAGCTGAAGTAAGCCTAAAACTAAACAGTATTCAATGATTTTAAATTGAGAAAAATAATTAGAAAAATCTGAAAATGAAATTATGGTATCATTTTCTTTCTGCACCATTCAAATTGTGTGTTAGCTCAGAATTCTGGGCTTATTTTCATCATCCACCCAGACCATTGTTAAAATACACTATTAAGACAAAGGGGGAAAAAAGAGAGGGATTAAGCAATAAAATGTAAAGTCTATTCAGAATTAATTGATCTACATCTTGTTTCTTTCCACGTGTAACTGTGTTGGCATGCAAGCCAACAATGGAAACAAGGCTCAATTCTTTATCAGCCCCATCCTCTGTTCCTCTCTCCAAGTCACACATCTAGGGTTAACTGCTAGGCCACATCCAATAGCAAGAGAACCATTTAAAAAGATCAGGTGTTTTGACTGCTAAATAAATGAATGTGACTCATGCCATAGAAAATCATCTTCTACATTCAGACTTGGAGATAACTTTGAGAAGGCCTCAGTCTAAAAGCTCCAGAATTCTAATTAAAAAAGGCGGTTCTAACTAATTTTACACTTTGGCTGAACACGCCTCCTGAAGGAGTCTTAATTTACTGTGGGCACAATGATTTCTTTCTCAAAGGACAAAAACTGCAGTGCTTCTGATATCTGCTGTCTTTTAATGCTGGAGGCTGTGATATTTGGCCACTGACTCCTCACATTGAATTAGCCACTTTTTAGTATTTGAGACTGTCTCCTAATTTAACTAACAAGAATATAGCTGGGATTAATACTCAGGAAAACCCCTTTTAAACACCCAAAGCATTGGGCATCTTTTGTAAAATTTGCTTCTTTCATTTCTATCTTCATAGAACTCGTGTGCTGTTCTTCTTTCTGGACATTTACCCAGTGTCTGAGGAAAAAAAAAACACAGGAAGAAAGGCAATTTGTTATCTGCTTAGTGGTTTACAAACCCTTTCTCTCCTTTCTCCACCACTGTTAGTATGAAAAAGTATTCAATTGAAAATTCAGAACATAGGCTGTGAGAGTAACCCATGGAGATGGAGACAATGGGACAGAGAAGGTACCATGCGACTGGAAGTAACAGAACCACTATCATCTGGGTATCCAGATGTCCAGATCTGGGTGTCCTGATTAAGACAGGTTTCAAAAGTTGGAGGATTTCCTACTTCCACAATCTACCAAATGAAAAGACTATTTCATTCTGTTCTTGTGAAGAGTTAACAGAGGATGCTAGAAAGGGAGTGTTTTGTTTGTTTGATTTCAGTCTCAGAGGAAAGAAACTGCATATAATTATTAGTCTGGTTTATAATTAAATGCATTTTTTAAAAATCTGTCTAAATATTTGTTGTCTTGGTGATCCTCTAATCAAACCAGGGATCCATCATTACTTTCTCTGATAATTTCTTATAACTTACATAAACAGTGTGACCAGAGTGCTTTATAAAATGCCTGCAGTTATTTCCTGATTTAGGGGACTTTGTTTTTACATTCACCTATATATCCAAGTTGCAGATGATTTGTAAATGTGCATGTGTGTGTTATTTGTATGCTTGTATAAAATTCCACATGGGGGGTATCTTTCTAAGAGTGGAAGCAAATGTGAAATTGCCTCACATGTGTGATGAGTGAAAACAAAGCAATGAACCTCTTAGAAGAAAAGGTCTTCACTTAGTTAAGAAAAGTTATTTTGTCTGGCTGCCCTCCACTGAGTTTATCTTTAGTATCCTTAAGTTAATGCATTTGATACAGATGCCTCATCTTGTCACTCAAAATGTATATGCCATAATTTCATTCTATTTTTTGATAGTACTGGAGATTGAACTCAAGGTCTCATGCTTGCTAGGCAAGTGGTTCTACCACTTGGGCCACATCCCCAGTCTCATAATTCCAGTTACGTAAAAGATAAATAGAAATATTATATATTTACAAAGTGTGAAAGGATATAAGTCAAAATGTTAATTGGGTGATAGGTTTTGTTTTTGTCTATTTTCATTAATTCATTCATAGTGGGCATGTAGAAATTATTAGAAAGTAGAGTTTTAAAATGAGAGAAGTTTCACATACCGTCTTTAATATACTTTTTCTAAAGAAGCAATTCTTATTCTGTACTGTTGTCTGTAAATGTAACCTATAAAAGGGGATGGACTAAAAGCAATTGTTTTTTCTATTTCCAGGTGACATAGTGACCAGCCTATGCCACTGTTTCTTATGTCACTGACTTGTATGACATGACCTAACATTTCTCCCCTTTATACTTGTAACACATTGAGGGGAGGAATGAAAACAGCTTATCTTAAGAACTCAGGAGGGGAGTGGGGACGGTCACATGCTTGGTGTCCACTTAGCACTGACGTTCTGGAAAGATTCCGCTGACAGCTGCTATGTGGATTAGCCTTAAAGGTCAGGTAGGAGTGAGCCAGCAGTTGTTCTGAGATCAAAAGGAGAACGGTTTCCCATACTCTCACTCCATTAGCTCCCAATCTTTGGGGTTTTGAGGTGGGTGCATGAGTCTGCCCTATGGTTCTGTGTCCTGAAGTCCATGGTACTTGGAGTATCAGACTACATAGTTGCAGCTGAGGCGACAAGACATTTTTGTCCCTGGATACATTCTTAGAAGAGCTGTACCCACAGCTATGATGGCAAGGACTAAGCCTGCAGTGCACACTCACAGTCAGCACCTAAAAGGTAGCAGAGGCTCAGGAGAGGGAAACACAGAAGTGAAGAAGTGGGGTTAGTTCAAAAAATAAAGTGAATCCTACCTTGTGTACCTGGATGAAGGTCAAGACTGAGAGAAAGAAAAAGAAACAGTATTGCAAAAAGCACGTGCACCCATGTGACATTAAGCAGAAAGGCTAAGAGCAGTGGCCTGAAGGTTCTGATCGCAAGAGTCACTGTGAGTCATTGGCTACGGGGTGAGGAGCAATGCCCGAGGCCACCTCCCATGGATGCTCAGAGAGCCAATGGTCCAAGGTGCTCACCAGCCAGACTTCTTATTCAGAGACTTGTCGTGGCATTTCACAAACACCGCAGAGCCCTTTCCTTTCTGCAAATGAGACACTTTCTCCCTGGAACAGAAGATCACCCTGTGGAAGAAAATGGGTGTGTGTGAATACACCATGTGGAGGAATAAGAGTGACTGTTCAAAACTATGCTTTTCGCCAGAGCTGTTTAAATCTGTTAATTGTGCTAATATTTCCAACAGTCACCGGGTCACATGTCACTCAGAAGGCCAAACCTAGTGTTCAGTAAAAGAGCTACTTAATCTAGACAGGTTTACAGACATTCTAGGGCAGCTTTCAGATCATAGCGCTTTCACCAAGAGATGACACAAGGTCAACTTTACCACCTCTTAGTATTGTGGCAGGGAATTAAAGAATGAGCTTTTAGCTGGTGCTGGTGGAGAAAGAGAGGTTCTGCATAGCTTTTCTATCCATAGCATTTCTTTTGGATATAAAAGCAAATGACGAAGGAGAAATAATTTCTCCATTCTAACTTGAAGAGTTGTTTTTATTAAAGATAATAGCATACTATAGTTTACAAAACCCATACATATTCAGTATAAACATTTTAAGTCCTATGGGGCTCTTTATATAATTCATTCTATAGAAACTTGAAAGGGGCTGTAGAGACAAGATGAGATTATTTTGGAATATCATCCTTCTTAAAAAGATTGCTTTTAGTCTTTGAATGTCAAGGTAACATCTCTGTTACCTCTCTAGTGACATTAGGGAGAGTCTGAAGTGAATGGAGAAAATGCAATGTAATTACTTTTTCTGAGTCTCTCCGGCTTTTACTCTGATCTTCTCAATAGCAAAACCAGGGCTGCTCCACCAGTCTGACCAGCTGAAGTAAGAATCGCTCTTCCATTTCAGTTTCATCATTAGCAGTTCTCCAATGTCCACCTCCGTGTAAATCAGAAAGGAGTAGGTCTTATTTGTGGAGATCTCAGGCCTGGATAAGAAGTTAGCAAATCTGGTTGGTTGTGGAAATCAGGCTTTTCTCCTCTCAATATGTAAATAGATTTATTGTTGGGGCAATATTTGAAAAATGCAAAAGATGTCCAACAAAATACTTAAGATGAATGTCAATGGCATTTAATGTATTCTAAAAGATATTCACATTCCTTTTGTGTACTCCTGCATTTATCCAATAATATAAACTACTGAATACAATTCTTAAGAAGGGAAGATCCATTAACTAACCATTCAGAGACATTTTCATTTTCAGGTACTCCTTTTCCATTTGTATTGATATGTAAGTATATTTCTACTTAATAATAATCAAAGTATAAATATAATTCTCTACTTTCTCTTTGTTCTTCATATGTTATCTCACACACTAGCTGTAATTTTTAAAGGCTAAATTGATTTTATTGATTTGATAAACCACAATTCACTTAACCTTTGATTTAATGTTGGACACTTTCTAATTTATTGCAGTATAATAAATGTGCCATACTTGAAAAAAATTTTTTAAATTTTTTGTTGACTATTTCTTTAGGATAAACACCTTAGAAGAGAATATTCTGTTATTGCAAGTACGTTTTACAGCTATGCAAAGTTATCTCCTCACTGCCTTCCTTATTTGGAAGAAGGTTCTAGTAATGAGTGACATTCCAGTGTGGGTATCTGTCCTGTTTCACTGTGTCACTAGTGCTGGGTATTTTAAAGGATTTAGGAATTATTAAAGGATATCATAAAGTTTCCTTAACTTTGCATTTCTTTAATCAATAGTAAGGGATAACACTTTCCCATGGGCTTTTCCCTTTTATATCTTCTCTGTTTGTTTCATTAACATCTGTAAAGTGGTTTCCTGTTACTATGGTTCATTTCCTCTAATGTCAACTCTTTATTTTTTATTTACTTATTTATTTTGGAGACAGGGTCTCACTATGTAGCCCAGGCTGCCTCAGCCTCCCAAGTGCTGGAATTCCAGGGGTGTCGCACCACACCTGGCCTAAAATGTTTTTGCTTACTTGTTTGTTTTTGCAGTGCTATAGAGATTGAATCCAGGGCTAGACAAGCTCTCTCCAGTCAGCCACATCCCAACCCTGAATGTCAACCTTTGGAGGGAATTTAATGACTTTGCTTTGTTTCTTTGTATAAAAGAAATAAGCAGATCTAAAATGATCAGACAGAAGAAACATGGATAGCAAATTTTAAAAATGACCAATTGGAAAAACAATATTGTCTCAGTAGAGAGTAAGGACTCAGTTTTGAAGTTATAATTTCTTAGACTAGACTTATTTACTAGGTGTGACTCCATTTCTCTTTCTCAGACTAAGGTCTATAATAGAAAGCAATGCCTCAACCAACCCACAGGCGGGAGGTGATCCTGAAATACTCACAAGGTGAAGGGAATGTTCTCACTCTCTGCCACGGTGCCATACAAAGAGATCTCGAAGGGCTGGTTGACCTGAGTGTCACTTTCAGTCCCAGAAAAATGAATCTTTACTTGGTAATGGAAGACTGGAGGAGGAAATTGGGACAAGGGCTGATCAGTCTTGGTGGAAACACAGTATCCCCCAAACAATCAGGCAATTCAGACCCAGAGAACAGGTCCCACTAGTGACCAAACAGGAAGTGTACACATATTGCACCATGGATGTGCCTTGGAAGCATTCCTGTCAGTGTTCACACCTTGACAGAGCAGACCTTGGATGCTGCTCCTTTTGAGAAAAGTGTGGTTGCAGTGGTTAGGAAAAAAACCAAGGGTATCTGAATTGCCAAGCAGTCCTAGAAGGCAGCCATCTTTGATGGAGCACTGTCTGATCAAATCAAAGGCCCCAAATCCATGAGGTTTCTCCGTGACTCTCCCTTGACCATCTGGCCTCTTAACGTTTGCACCAAACATACTTGGCATCTGTCACAGTGTCACTGTGTAAGGCCATGTCTTCTCTCCTCATTTCATGGGTATGTCTGTCCTCCCTACCCTGAACATAAACTGCTTCAGGTCATGGGGTCACATTCATCCTCCATTCCCCCACCAAATAGCAGAGGGCAGTGCATGGATTTTCACAACAATATTCATTACACCGAAATATCAGCAAGGCTGTGAGGACTCTTACAAGGCCAGTCCCTAAAGTATTCTGATGTGAGAGAGCCTCAGAAGGCAGGAGCTTAACTTCTACATCTCCTTCCTACTTTTCTCCCCATCTCGTACCAAAACACTTGAGTAAATGTGAGCAGGGAGAGGCCAAGAGGATAAGAAGGCAACAGATCTAAAATACAGCTACTATGCTGGGTGGGAGGAAATTATTATCATGCTTTTTCTTTTGTATCCCCAAATCCTGATCAGATTTTTTCTTATCTGTGCTATTAATTGCCTTTTAAGGCATGTCTTTTAAGTTAGGAACAGATTTTTCTTTAAACATTAATGGTATAGTATGTGCCAAGCTATATGTTAATAGTACTTTGGACAGTTATTTTAATGAAAAACAATTCGGTATAGTTTATTGTAAACTTTTTATGTGCACTTTTGTTTAAGATACATCTGTTTTTGTAATAAAACAAGTAGCCAGACAAAGCAACCAAACCCCATAACTACTAGAAAGTAAAGAGAAATGGAGTTTGGGGCTAACCAAGGTCAGCTCCCAGACAACAGCAGGCAAGGCCAGGTGTGCCCATGTGCCCACTGGGGACACTGATGGAGGGCTGAGCAGATGGGTGCAGGAAGCGGGGATGAGTGAGCCTGTGCCGTGTGTCTTCAGATTACACCCTCCTCCTTCCCTCACACTTTCCTCTGCTCTGAAGTTGGGGTCTCTGAGGGGTCCCTCATCATCTGAAAGGTTTCTTTGAATGACACCAAGTACGCCCCTACAGAGTCTAAACAAACTGCCTTACACAGCAAATCACGATTTAATATCTGCCCCTCCCTCAGACTTCTGCCCAGACTCATAGAAGCCAGACTTTCTGAAAACAGTCCCCTCCTCACCTCCCATTTCTCTTCCATTCCTAATTTAGGTCTAGCTCTGAGCAAGACATCAAGCTTCAAGTTCAAGTGTGAAATGAGTTCATGACAAAATGGAAGTACCTTAGCAGGTGTGGTATATTCTTGCCTTCCAGGGATATGTGGATTTTATTTTCTTTTATTTATTTATTCATGTATTCATTCATTCATTTATTCTTGGCAGTACTAGGAATTGAACTCAGAACCTTGAGCTTGCAAGGCAGGTACTCTACCAGTTGAGCTATAACCTTAGCACTTTTATGTTTGTCTTGTTTTGTTTTTCAGATAGGATCTTATGTTTCTGTCCTGGGCTAGCCTCAGAATACAATTCTCCCAGCTATGCCTCCCTGCAACTGGGAACACAGGCATGTTTTACATGCCTGGCTTACTGGTTGAGATGTGGTCTTGCTAACTTTTGCCTGGGCAGACCTCCAACTATAATCGTCCTGATCTCTACTTCCTAAATAGCTGGAATTATAGGCCCTAACCACCATGCCCAGCCCCTTGGATTTTAGAATACAGATCATTCTTGTCTTCACATAAAGCAAAATTTAGAAGTGGCAAGCTTTCTATAGAGTCAGAGTCAATATTTTAGGCTTTGGGGGCTGCACGGTCTTTGTCTCAACTACTCACCTCTGCCCTGGTGTCATGATAGCAGCCTTAAACAATATGGAAATGAATGTATGTGACTGTGTTCCAATAAAACCTTATTTACAAAAGCAGATGGCAAGCTGGATTTGACCCAAAGGCCATAGTTTGTGGATCCCAGAATGATGGTTTCAAATTAGCTCTGAGCCTGTTGACGGCTGGCCCATGCTAATGGGCGCAGTTACCAGGAGAGCAGCAAGCAAGGCTGTGAATCCCAGGCTGAGTACTGGGCTCCTGCTGGCCATAGGAACTGGGAGCATCCTTGAAATGGATGGGTGAAACCTCCTCTATAGCAGTAGAAACACAAATGAGGGTTCATGCTTTAGTAACATCACTTCGTTAACAGACTCAATCCATGGGACAGAGCAGACAATGATAAAAGTGGGACTAATTGAGTTTCCTCACTTGGAGCAGTCTCCAGCCTACCTTTGTAGGGCATCTGAGAACGGGTCTTCAGGTACATCTTGCTGCTTCTTTTGGCTCGGACCTTGTTGATCTCATAGCCCACATTGTTGCAACGGTTCTTTCTGCAACTCAGGCAGAGCCCTTTCTCAAAGGCTTCCTTGGAATTGCACCTGTATGCCTTACTTGGGTTTTCTTCGTTCAACAAGGAGTCGATGAAGAGATGGATGGAGCGCTCATGGGAGCACTTCACTAGTTGATCCACATCTGAGGAAAAAAAGAGATGCGTGGGAAATTTCAGGTAAGCAGAAATCCACAATGATTTCATTCCACAATGAAATCCACAGTGCTTCATTTTGCATGTTTAAAACAGGGTGGGCATGGTGGTACAAAAACATGACCTTAGGTTCCAGTCCATGAATCTATGGTTGTAGGTCCTGTTTTAGGGGATATTCTTGATAGCAGCTGTTCCCCCCTACCTTCAAGATTGTCAAAGATGCAAGTTCATGGGTGACTTTTGACTTTTCTGCTGTCTTACATTTATAAGTATGCTTATAAAGCCATAAAAAGGCATCAAAGCTAGAAGTTGATTCTTCCCAGTTTATTACACCTTTTGCTGTATTGAAAATGTCTAGTGCTTCTAGAAACCACATCGTGGAGGGCCTACTTGTTAAATGAATAATATTTTATCATACTTATGACAAAGGATGGAAGATTGCACCCTACTTACGCTTTTTAACATCAAATGAATCCTAAGAATAATCACTAATGTCATAACAATAGATTTATTCCAAAAAGCTTTTATAATAAAAATGAAAACAGTAACACTATGCTGTAAGTTCTGCAATGTGTGCGTGAAAGTACAGAACACAGTGACCACAGGTAAATCCCAAATTCCATAAAGTGTGCAGAGGCTCTTAAAAATCAACTCACCACATGCTAACATGATTATTAAAGCAAATACTAAGCTAATATTAAGTGATCTTTTCTTCTTTCATTGTGGGAGCTTTACTTCAGGTGGTGGTGGTTTGTTTCTAACTTGCCTGGATCTTAAAAAGGTCAAGAAAAGAAATTCAGATAATTAACACTTACTTTGCTTTCAGGAAAACTCAACCTTCAATGACTTTGCAATTGCTTTTGAATGTTGGCAACCATAGCCAGATAACATCTGATGATGCTGTAATGGAGGCCAGTGGAGTGTTCCTGTCTAAATCTCACCTTTCCTTCCTTTTGCGACTGCCAGACCAGTATTCAATGTAATCACAATATAATAAACAGAAGATAAAGGGCCAGCTGGCTTTAAGGTGATCATGCAGAACAGATAGAATTTTTCAGAGACATATTGGACAAGTGTGTACATTGAAGTTACAGACACGGGGGGACAGTGAGCCCGACATGAGATCAATAAAGCTTAAGAAGCAAGGTTCCAACTTCTAAATCGTACTTACCACCCAGGCCCCTCTCTGCAATCACACGGATGGCTTCCCCAATGTTACAGCCTGGCTGGAAAGTGCCTCCATTAGGGTAAATGTCAACGTGCCCTACTGGTTTCTGGATTCCAATACTCCGGCCAGGTGACCCTCTAGTGAATGTGTGTAAGACATCTACAAACTCTGCATCATCCGGAGAAAGGCGACTGGGAGCTTCTGCATACTCAAAGTTAGGTCCCGCTGGATCCAAGCCTTGAGGGGAAAAAAGGTCCCACAGACTTTTAAATCTCTGTTAATTTTAGTCCCAACTGAATTCACATTAACATTCCACTGCTCAGCATTTGAACGTAACTGGCAGCTGCTTAATTCCATTAGGAATAGGCTCTTTCCCAGATCCCAGGAATCAGATCTTTCAATTACTAAGACACTCAGAAAAGTAGGCATGGCCCTTCTAAAATGGAATTTGAGTCTCAGTCTCTCTCTCTCTCTCTTTCTCTGTGTGTCTCTCTTTCTCTCCCTGCTTTTCTCCCTCCCTCATTGTTGTTTCATGAGAAAGGGTCTTACTGTGTAGCCCATACTGGCTTCAAACTCACAATTCTCCTGCCTTAAGGAGCATGTGACACCACACCCACTAGACTTTGAGTTTCTTAAACTGTCCCTTATGT